GTGGCCGTGGACACAGCTTGCACATCGCGACACGCCCGAACCCTTGGAATACTGATTGGCTGTGTAGGATGACTGAGGGAGATCGCGGCCGCAAGCAGCGCATAGTCGACCCATGATTGGAGCAGGCAGTGATAATATCGTGTAATTGTTCTGTCGATGCAGGCATGAAGAGATAATTTCGGATAAATGGTTGATCCACGGTGGACATATATTCCTTTTACAGCATCTACTTGGATGTTTCTAAGACTCACCATATATTCCCCTACGTACGGAGTACTCCGTATGGCGATGGCAATGCTAGAGGCGGTTCCTTTCTCTATGCCACAGATAAGACAATTGAAATAGTAGTGGGATCTCAGAGAAGTTTACATCTTATCTGAACAACAGCTGAGATGAACACAGCTAATTAGTAATTCTGGCTGAATTGGCTGGCTCTCAGCAAATCTTACTAGTGTTTGCGGGTTTTAGAGCGGTAAGATTCCAGATGCTGTATCGAGATACCAGCCAAACTTACATTATGAACCAGGTGGGCAGCTATCAGCCAATAGCAGCTCAGAGTTGGCTTGCATAGCAGAATTAGTGCAAACCATAAATGGAAATCCGCGTGTAATGCCTGTATCGTTCATCTCCGACACGATCTACCGCACTGATACCCGAGTAGTAAGTAATCTGAAAATTGATTCCAGTATCGCTGACTGCCAATCACACACATAAAGCAGTATACTCATATACATCCCTGACCTGGCTGGATCCAAGTGGATATACTGTATGTGGAATCCTCTTCAATGTCTCGTCAATGGAGGCTTTTCTGGGGGAGCAGCATCTTTTATGGTTTATCGCGATGAAATCTAGTTAGGTGCCTCCCCCGCAAAAAAAAGAAAAGAAAAGAAACTGTCAACTTGTGCTGATACGAGATCGGACGCCACGCAGACGGCTCATCAAATGCCAGACATAACCTCTCCTCCATTCATCAGCATCTCAAGCTATCGTGAGGGTTTTAGGCGAACCTTGTCAATGTTCAGTATCATATCTACTGGATTGAAACCCCGGCTGTTCATGATAATTAGTTTGTTTGATCTTGAAGGGGGAGAGAAAAAGGGACACCTTGGCCCCAGCACCATCTCACATGGGAAAGGGACTCCGTATACTGGGTACGTCTGCTTGTCCTACTACTGGATAGGCCGCTAGAAGGCAATAAATGAGGTGCAGGTTGATCATGGTCTGGCCAGCGACAAAGATCTGTGACACCCTGAACCGGTTTCTGAACGGCAGCAACGGATTCTGCAACCCTGGCCCATGACTGGATCGGCCATCCCAGGCGGATCAAGCCTAAAATGTACCCTGGAATATCCCAACACTGCACGGAGCACAACATACAGGACATGAAGCAAAAAGGACACGACGGATTGAGCCGATTCAAGAGCCGGAATGGGCTCGCATCAATGTACTTTTTCATGGTTCCAAACAAAGACCCAGCTTTTTGTACAGTAGCTGCCAACCCGTTTCGCATGCATGCGGCTGTTAGACAACATTTGGACCAGGAACAGGGATGTTAGACGGTGGATGTTGTCTCATTTCAAAGAGATTTTAGTCTTTGCCTCTAATACGCTGAGACGCCCTTCCCAAATGGGTTTCAATCGTAAAGGTAAGTGTGTATGCCTGCGAGTCGGCTTCAGGTGCCTTTAAATATGTATAGCTATCTTGATGACTGGAATTTAGGGGCCTTCTTGCTTCTATGCAGACGAGTCCTTACGACCCTATCGACTACGTTACTCAGACCCTATTTTCGCTCTTCTCGGACGACGGCTAAGCTTCGCAACCCCTCCAGGAAGGTGACATATTTGGGACTCATATCCTTGCTGAGGTTGGACAACTGGGAACATTATCACCAGGGTGGAGAACATCAGAAAGGCGAGACATTGACTGCATTATTGAAGACCAGCCTATGTATGTACTATAATCCCACCGCCTGGCACTGCAATGGCCTATTCTTTCCTGGAGAATTTTAACCAGTAATGCACAGTTTATATTGATATCAGAAGTACACCTACGGCCTCAACACTGATGATATCCTCTCTCGATGCCACTTTAACTCTCCCCGAACCCTCCTCCATTGAATGAGCGCAGATGTGACCGACATAACATAGACCGCACCATCATGGTTTTGCGTGGTGTGCTCGAGTTTCTCGTGCGGCAAAGGAGCATCGATGATGGACATGCTATCGCCCCACGACGATTCACTCCATTAACGATCGATCCTCTACCTCCAGCCCATCGCAGAGGACTCATCGCTATCGGGATCACGTCACTTCTCTCAGTCATCACGACAGTGGGACTCTTTCTCTTCATCACATATCGCCTCATATTCTGGCGCAAATATCATTCTGCATATATCGGTTACAACCAATATATTATCCTAATTTACAACCTGTTGATCGCGGATTTTCAAGAAGCCCTTGGATTTCTTCTTTCGTTGGAATGGGTCGCGCGAAATTCGCTCAGCAATGAATCTCGAATGTGTCCCATCCAGGGATGGCTGTTGCAGATTGGGGACCCATCGAGTGGGATATTTGTGATGGCCATCGCCATTCATACCTTTGTAATAGTCGTTTTGGGCCGAAAGATGTCACATCGAGTCTTTGTTAGTTTTGTGGTTGGACTTTGGGCATTTTGCCTTCTACTCGTGGTGATTCCTACAGCCATGCATGGAAGGAAAACGTTTTCCCCGTCAGGCGCTTGGGTATGCATTCTCTTTCTCAAAGGAATTTCAACTACATACTTACTGATACGATACTAGTGCTGGATCGATGAAGACTACGAAGTGGCGCGTTTCTGGGGGCATTATTTTTGGATTTTTATTGCAGAATTCGGCTCGATAGCCATCTACTCTATTCTCTTCTTCTATCTCCGACGACAGGTCTCCGCGTCTCCGCTCATGGGCCACCGACAAAAGGAACATTTACGTCGTCTCCGTCGCGTAACGGGCTACATGGTCCTTTACCCTCTTGCATACATCATTCTCTCCCTACCCCTTGCCGCTGGTCGCATGGCCATGGCGGGCGGAACGAGGCTGAGTGTCGCCTACCTCTCCGTAGCGGGCGCATTAATCTCCAGCTCTGGTTTCGTCGACGTGGTTATGTACGCACTGACGCGACGAGCCCTGCTCCTGGACTCTCAACCATCCAACTGCGACCGCGCATACGGCTCTGGCAGATACCAGATGAACAACACTCACATCGCGACGGTGACAGCGGGACATAGAACGCCCCGCGCGTTTACGCGTCACCCTTCTCAGCGCCGTAGTGGGCACCGTGACAATACTGAGCGCGGTCCAAACCGTGGCGGTTCAGTGGATCGAATGATCCCTGACGACTTGGATCTGGAGGTGTTGGGTTTTGGAATGGGCAAGGTCTACCAGAAGACGACGATCGAAATTACTAGTGAGCCGTTGGATAATGGAGAGAATAATAGTTCCGGGGAAGGCTCGACGATTGACCCGTCGTACGACTCGGCGAGCCACGTTGATTCGGTTCCTAACCCGGGACGGACGCGGAAGGCTCCTAAATGATATATTATACTGGTCTGTTATTATTGATATTCTCTTCTTTTTATTTGAGTGCATTGGGTTTATAAATCTTACTAATTTGGGGCTCGGGAGGCTCCAACTGTGCTTTCTATGGGTGGTATACTGTGCTGCAACCGAAATATAGAGAAATTAATTCTGTTTTCCCTTACTACTTCACAACATCCTACCAAGCCAATGATTGCATATTGTTCACACACATACGGAGTACTGCGCCATGATAATACAACACAGCACTCAATTACACTAATAATACCGTGAGCCAGCAAGCTCCCGTCGATCACCATCAAGAGCGGGCATTCCACAACGGTCCGATCCGGAAAATTAACCCTAACAACCACACTGAACATCGCCCAATTATCCAGCTCGTCATACCCAGGGGCAAAAAAGAAAAAAGAAAAAAGAAAAAAGAAAAAACCTTCCCCCCAAGAGCAGCTAAGACCCAATCCATGCGCAGGTTGTGTCACCCTCTAACGGTCCGTATAGTGTGATTTGCACTCTGTGGATACATATCTATACTCACATATTAGTTTCCAAGCACTTATTGAGCTCTCTCTCTTTCTCCTCCCACAAAACATTCTGCGAAATGTTGAAATCAACCCATTTGCCCACTGAGACACATTAACCAGGGACCAGCTGCGAGCAAGGAAAAACAAAAGGGACAAAGTCAAATTTCAGTGAAATTTAATTGTCTTGTTAAGACAATAATAATAACAACAAAAATCTTGCGTGTATGCGCACCGCCTAGAAAAAAGCCTGAGCTCTTGTCAGGTTTGTGGGTTGATAGCGCGGGAAGATGCATGCATTTTATAGGGGATGGGTTGCGGGGGGCGGGTGATTGTCCCGAGAGGTTAGTTAAATAATGATGCCCATGGCCAGCCTTGTATTGTCTGGGAAAGCTGTCTAATAATGTACAGTACGGAGTACATGCACATAGTATATAGTAGATATATATAATATCAGGAAAGTCCCCTGTAATTCGAACCTAGCGAATTCTAGAATTTGGTTATTTGATATGTGTACTCCGTATGTGTGTGTACGTACAGTGCCTTGTCAAAAGTATCCGCACCCTGTACCAATATATACTTCAATATTGTTATGGAAGACTGAGGTAGTTATTCTTCAGTAGTTAAGGGGGTTACGGGTACTTTCGACCTACTGTAAGTAAAACTCCTGTCTGTGTCGAGCAATGAAGCCAGGATATGACGAAAAGTACACAAGTATCTCGAAAAATTTGAATGTCTCAATTCATGTCAGTATCAGGGAAATTTAAAAGCAAAGATCACTGAGATACATAATTCTATGGACTTTTAGACATACCTTCAGCAAATGAGATGCCTCGTCATCAGTCGCAGCCAACTACATATGCAGTTTATCAATATAATAAAACAAAATTAGCAAATTTCCTCTTAAAATGAGGGAGTTGGCCGAGTGGTTATGGCGCTAGGTTTAGGCTTATGTAATCACCCGCGGGACGATGACAACAAGCAAATCCCTAGTTTCGAAAGATTCGCGTGTTCGAATCACGCACTCCCTACATTGATTTCTTCTTTTTTTTTTCTCTTTATGTTTTTCATTGACCAGCAACCCAGATAGAAAACTGTTTCGACTTCAAGCTTCTATCGTGTACATCAACTCCGTAATCTTTTTGCTTGAATGTTATGTACCAGTATGCCTACATACGTATGCTACAGGATTACGCATCGCTGCTGCTCATACTGTGCTCTGAGATTTTGAGCCACAATACAAACTAACATCTGCAGTAAAAATTCGGTGTCAGGAAAGTGAAGATCTTTGACCTTCCCATAAGTGGAACTGTTCCTTATAGCTTATGCTTTGTGGATTGTCCATTACATTGTATGCATTTCCAGTTCTAGTACTCTCCTGGTTGTGATATGGATATTTCTTACCAGAGCAGAACCGAACGGATATGGTACGTGAAGTGGCATTTTATATATTACTAGAGTCTAACAATCTTTATATTCACAATGCGCGCATGGATGTCCTAACGGGACCTGCTGTTCTTCAAACTTGCTTCTATTCCCAGCGTTCAATGGCTGTCATTCTTACTAAACCCGTCCGCCGCTCGCAAATCTCATCAGGAATGGGGGTTGCCTTGCACTGGACTCGGCCACACGCCCTTGCCACCAGCACCTGCATCTCAACACCCCAACTTGCCATCAATGAGGACATGGTCCTCGGGAGAGTTGAGGGAGGAACGAACGTGGTATTGTCTGGCTCAAGATAATCAAGCTCTTCTGACTGTGGAGCATTGTAAGTGGTCCTCTTCCAATATTTAAGAAATTGCTCATCAGTAAGCCTCCAATACTTTTCCAGCGCTGGGTCTCTTGTGGCAGATGTTTGCGCAAGCCATTCGGGCTCTAATGGGGACACAAGCATGCCGATAGGTCGAATTATTGCCACTTCAACATATCTATGACCAACTCCATATTCTCGTGCTCTGAGGACGAATTTTGCTTTGCATTGACTGCATTCAGGATAACTATGACGACGCGGCCATAATCTGAATGCTATGTCCGTAGAGAACTGTCCGGTTATCTTTTCATCACTCATGCGAAGATGCGGACAGATGGGGATGTTGAATCGATTACACAATGCAACAAACCAATCCTTAGAGGCGGGAAAGTCCGCCCGGTACATTGGATATGCAGTCTCAATCGCGTTTGGAATTCCTGGGTTCAAATCACTAAAGATAATTGCGGCGTAGCGATTGACCGATGTCCAACTTTTAGGGTTGCGCGTTTGGTGTGGCTCTTCTAGAATTTCAATGACCTCAGAAAAGCTTAGGTCTAGAGTTCGAGAGACTCGTAAAGATCTTTGAGTTCTCAAGCAGTAGCGTTCTGTCGGTCGCTTTTCCAACTCTTGAAGTGAGAATGATGCAGTGAAGCGGTGTCTCTTGAGGCATCCTCGGCAATGATAGCCCTTTATACGTCCATCAATTTCAAGCAAGCATAGGATCTCAAATTTTTCGGTTTTATTTGACTGCAAGGTTTGGCGTAGTCCAGCAATGAAGAGGTGATAAAACCGAGCACAGGTAAGCGCCGTGGCCGCAGAGGATTGAAAGGGCAGATGCTGATAGATCATCTCGAGTAGCTCGGCTGGCAAGAGATAGAGGCGACTGTGAACTGCATTATGAAACCGAGCCTGTGAAGGGCGCCACGGACAGAATAAATGGCGCAGAAAACGGTTTAGAGACATAATTGTGAGTTGAAATACAGAAAATTCAATCAAAGCTCGATTAAAAGAATAGCTCGTAAGAGTTGCGCCTTGCTTCCAATTATCCTTGTGTGGAAATTGAATTCTGACATCGCCGAGGGCATCAAATCCGCGAGGAGGTTGGCCAGATACATATATAAGGGCAGTACCTAGACATAATCGATTGCGTCAACAAAGACGCGGCTCAGCCGGAAAGGTTGAAATTGGCATTCCCGTCATCCACGAACCGAAGGAACTATTTGAATAATTCGGATAGGAGAATTATGAATCCTGGCCTTGTCCGTAGTCAGCTGTCCGCTCTTTCCTTCAGCACGGCACGTTATTTTCTGTCGCTTATCCCGACTTGATGGAAGTGGTTGAAACCTTTCGCTGTTTGAAGATAGCATGGATTCTAATGTGGGCTGGCGTGATAATTGTCAATGTCGGTTTCGGAATGGACTAAGAAGTACGAAGTCGGCAGTGGTCGCCAGTGGTTAAATCACTGCGGGCCGCGCGAAGGTTGTGCGTAGCACATATCGCCTCAGCTGAACATAAACAGAGTACCCCAAACGCCTCAAAGGGCTATCATGAGCACCGGCTGGCTCAGAGACACGAAATGGATAGGCTAGGAATTTCTAATTCATAGCCTGAGAAGGTGATTGGTCAAGTAAGCTCCTGTTTTGGAGACTTTGAAATATCAAAAATTGTGCAAGACTGATAACTGAAACCGGACTAGTATGATAAACCGGAAAGTGGTAAGCTTCAAGCTAAATTGTCACTTTCACCACGTTACGTTATTCAGCGGTAAGGAGGGAGATCTTCAATAGCTGCCGATCCGGGCATCGAAACATATCTAGCGAGCGGAAAGTTCACCATGTTTCCTTGATCTATATTGGCGTTGTCCAATAAGAAGATGCGCCTGAGGCTGCTTCGTGGGTGTAGTGCCAGCTGTCCATTCAGGCGTTAGGTCATCGTGTCTGTCATGAAAGCCGCTGTGGCTTCGCTGGGCTGTTGTTAGATCTTTGGATTCGACTTCCGATAATAGCTGGCTGGTCGAATCTTCTCGACGACAGGGAGAATTGAGACTCAAATTTGCCGTCTGTTATGTGTGATGTATGCTTCAGGTATTTGCTGACAAAAAACGCTCGCCGAAATAGAAGGTCAGTAGACAGGGACGTACTAACGTGAAACAAGGAGCAAAAAAGGATTTCCGATTCCGGCCATAATGTAAGCAGAATAAACGTAAAGTCGGACAACGCTGCTGTTTCGTGATCTTTGTGGACGTTCTGGTTATGGGCCTTTGGTGCTGCAGGTGCAGGAACTTTACTGGAACACGCGAACCTAAGGAGGCCTAAAGATTTGGGGTGATCAGAAAAATGGCTAATTGGCTGGTTTAAATGATGTGAAAGGGTAGTGTTGGGTCGAGAGTGCACAGGAGCGCCACTCAGAAAATCGACTCTTTGGCAGCGACTGCAGGTCGACAAAGCGTGGAGCAATCGAAAGCTTTCTTCTACACCTCAGAAATCGAAATCAATGTCAAATATTTCGGGGGCAGATGTATGGTGTTGAGGGACTCTCAAATGCGCAAACAGACATGATGCTGTTTTTATCCTTTCAAGGGGTTTGAGCGCAAACGCTCTGCCAGCAATGTCGGTCAGAAAACGCGGCCATGGGCGATACAACGATTATTGGAACATTTTGTGCAAAGGTTGATTTCCTGTCTTCGTATACGTCCGTCTCGAAAGCAAGGTTTTGCGGGGCTGTTGATGTGGCCGTTCTTCGTGAATGCATTTGGCGAGTTCATCTTGGCTTCTCCATTTCGATGTATACTAGTCACCAGCACTACGTAAAAGTGTGAACTCTTGCTGGTGTCGTTGGGCCCCGCCCTGGCCCAACTTGATCTACCATGATCCCTTTGATTCAGTCAGCAATATCAAAAGCTAGGTCTCTGAAAAGTACTCACCTCATGGCAATGACTTCAACTCTTCGCGACTAGGTCGCCGTCGGGCTCCATCTCCTTGAGAGATTTCCCTCTGGACACCAGTGGCCACCACACTGGTGGAGGGACCAGCTCCCACGGATGATGATTCACCCCCTTTCCCCTCTCTGCCCTTCCTCATCTCCTCCACCTCTTGCTTCACTCTCTCCGACTCCCTTCTCACACCCCGCAGCTCACCCTCCAGCTGCTCTACCTTCCTCTCCAATTCCTCAATCCGCTTCTCCTTTAGCTTCTTCTTTTGAAGATCACTGTAAATGAAATAAATCACATACACGAGCTGTATAACTATCATACTGACAGCTGTTGCCGCCAGAACAACAGATGATACACCACTGAGTGCAATATAATTCATTTTGAGAGATATCAAAGGGAAGAAGAGTAAGAAGTTGAACGAACTGTAGAAAAAGGAGCTCGAGAAGAGGAAAAGAGAAGAAGAAGAAGAAGAAGGGAAAAGAAGAAGGGAAGAAAGGAATAAGAGAAAAAAAGGAGGTGGTGAAGAGGGGTAGAGGAGGGATAAGACGAGAAAGGAAAGAAGGAAAGAGAGTAAAGCGAAAAAGGAAGGAATGCGCATCTTGACCACAGCCATTTTTGTCAAGAGCAGACATGGAAGCCGCAGGAACTACCTATCAATCCTGATCAGGAAAGACTGAGTGTAAGGTGAAGGCTTTAGAAAGATTGAGACTTGTCCACTACAGCACACTAAGGCGGTTGTAATTCAGAAATCAAAATGTCCTCTGCCATTCTGATTAATGTTGTGCTATGTCGGGTATTCAACGTGGCTTGCTTTCCAAGGGGCTCATGTCCAGGCTAAATTCATTGAATTCACTGCATTCTCGCTGGCAAGACTGGATTTCCATCTGGGGCAGGACAGGTAGGTTCCATTCAGTGGTCTCAACAAGTGTTGACCAACTGCAGCAGATATTGGAAACATCAACTCATCTTCGACAGGTTGTCTTTTTCGGTAGGCTCTGCTAAAATAAACAGCAGCAGACACAAAAGGCACTGCCTTCCTCGCGCCATGATTGCCAATTCGGGAATATAACTAATGACGGAGGTGTTGTGAAGAGAAAGAAGTCGCAACTTGCTACATAATATTGAGTTTGCCAAGACTGATAACTAAAGTAAGTTATGTATCACAATACACACCTCAGTTACTAATGTAACTTAAATAACTACACTGTTACTCCATACTTACTAGTTCATTCAGTCTCCTTTCTCCTGCTGCACCCATACCACATTCCACTTTTACAGTCATGGATATCAGATATTGAGCCTATGTTAACAATTAGACTGGAGTATGAAGTCAGCCAGTGATAAAGGTA